CAGGTCTAGCGAAATCAAGGCCATGGCTTTTTTGACTGAGTCTATCCACCTGTACTGTCATTTCTCTCTTTCCTATTGCTGTCTACCTTACCAAACGCCAATGCTAGAGGGGTTAAAATCATTGCTAGCAGAAGAAATAATAATAATAATAATAATAATAATAATAATAATAATAATAATAATAACACTTTATATTCTGCCCTTCTCACCCTGAAAGGGACTCGGGCGGATTACAAACATTCAATGTCAAACATTCAATGTCATGTTCAATGGTTCTCAACCTGGGGTCCCCAGATGTTTTTGGCCTACAACTCCCAGAAATCCCAGCCAGTTTACCAGCTGTTAGGATTTCTGGGAGTTGAAGGCCAAAAACATCTGGGGACCCCAGGTTGAGAACCACTGGTATAGACAATACACAGACAGAGAGACAACAGAAGGAGGTGGTTTGTTTTGATTCAGTGTCCAGCTGTTTTTGATGCCATGCAAGGTTGGGCTTGAGTCCAGGAGTTTGCTGTTGCTCTATCTTCTATGACGAAGAGCTGTCAGGACTTCCTCCTTCCTTTTGGTCGCCCAGCATTTTCTGATCTTCTTTCTTTATGGCATCGTAAAATACCTCCCCCGCTTTTTAGCAGTACCTATTTTTTCTAATTACAGCTAAAGCTGTTTTCAAATTGCTTAGGTAAACAATGAGCTAGGGTGTCATTTGACAGCTCACGTCAAAACTGGGGTTCGAACTTGCAACCTTTTGGTTGATCTTACAATTGCTGATGATTTACCAGCTGTGCTAAACCTCCGGTAGGGCTTGAAAAATTGTTTTAGCCAAAGGAAATACTTCTTTCTGTTTCAAAAGGTCATGCAAAATATTGTTCGCTAGACATGGGGATGAAAGGGGAAGACAGAAAATACAATCTGAGGGCAAGGATTGATACTCAGCCTTAACCTTCATGTCTTATTGTCACTCCCAAACTGTATCTTCATTTCTACGTATTAGTTGAATGTTAATCTAGAGAACCAGGATGATGTAGTGGTTTGAGTACTGAACCACAACTCTAGGGACAAGGTTCACTCTACCATGAAACCTTGAGTAAGTCACTCTCTCTCAGCCCAGGGCCAGCAATGACAATTTCTCCTAAACTGTGCTTACCATGAACCCTCTGTGAAAATAATAATAACACTTTATTTATACCCCGCTACTATCTCCCCAAGAGACTCGGTGCGGCTTACATGAGGCCGAGCCCAAATACAACAATACAAGCAATAACAACAATACAAGCAATTAAAAACAACAAAACAATGAAACAATAACATAAGCATTATCAAATAGGACAACACACTTTAAAAACTATGGGTAGACCAAATGTAATTAAAATAAAAATAATGCTGGACATGGGCGAAAGAAATGATATGGGGGTTTGTGAAACATACAAGCAGACCTAAAAAACAATATGAAGTGCTTTGGAGGACAAGTGATATGGGATCATTATTCTGGGAAGGCACACTGGAACAACCACATCTTCATGCTCCTCTTAAAGATTGCCAAGGTTGGGGCATGCCTGATGTTCTTAGGGAGTGAGTTCCAGAGTTGAGGGGCCACCACCGAAAAGGTCCTCTCTCTCATCCCCACCAATCGTGCTTACGATGCAGGCAAAGGCGGCCCTAGGTAATTTTCAGTGGTAAGCAAACAGTATTTTGGCGCCTCCCCCCCCAAAAAACCAATCATTGATATATATTTTCTGTTCATCATGGGAGTTCTGTGTGCCATATTTGGTTCAATTCCATCATTGGTGGAGTTCAGAATGCTCTTTGATTGTAGGTGAACTATACATCCCAGTAACTACAACTCGCATATGTCAAGGTCTATTTTCCCCCAAGAGCGCCTCAAGAGTGCCCCTGGGCAAAATCAACTATACTGCAAATGCTTACTTTGCATAATGGGTTGCGCCGCCCCTGGATGCAGGTGGGAGCTTGAGCAGGGCCTCTCCAGAAGATCGAAGAGATCGTGTGGGTTCGTACAGAGATGCGGTCACGAAGGTAGGCAGGTCCCAAACCGTTCAGGGCTTTGTAGGTGAGAACCTGCACCTTGAATTGGGTCCGGAAAATGAATGGCAGCCAGTGGAGCTCCTTAAACAGGAGGGTTGACCGCTCCCTGTAAGGATCCTCGCTTAACAACCTGGCTGCCGCTCGTTGGACCATCTGGAATTTCCGAGCTGTTTTCAAGGGCAGCCCCACGTAGAGTGCATTACAGTAATCCAGTCTAGAGGTGACTAAGGCATGGACCACCTTGGCCAGATCTGCCTTCCCGAGGTACGGCCGCAGTTGCCACACGAGTCTTAATTGTGCAAAGGCCAGAATTTGGGAATCACTAGGTTAAGTGGAAGTTGGTTGTTGTTGTGTGTCTTCAAGTTGGTTCTGACCTACGGCCCTTCCACACCACCCTATATCCCAGAATATCAAGGCAGAAAATCCCACATTATCTGAGGCCACTTCCACGCAGTTGAATAAAACCCCATATTATCTGCTTTGAACTGGGGTATGTGGCTGAATGTCCATCAGACTGGAAAAAATCAACTTATATCCCCATACCAAAAAAGGGAAATGCGAAAGACTGCTCAAACTTCCGTACAGTGGCCCTTATTTCTCATGCCAGTAAGCTAATGCTCAAGATCCTGCAAGGAAGACTCCAGCAATACATGGAGCGAGAGTTGCCAGATGTTCAAGCTGGGTTTAGAAAAGGCAGAGGAACGAGAGACCAGATTGCCAATATCCGCTGGATAATGGAGAAAGGCAGGGAGTTTCAGAAAAACATCTATTTCTTCTTGACTATTCTAAAGCCTTTGACTGTGTGGATCATAATAAATTGTGGCAAGTTCTTGGTGGTATGGGCATACCAAGCCACCTTGTCTCTCTCCTGAGGAATCTGTACAAGGACCAAGTAGCAACAGTAAGAACTGACCACGGAACAACAGACTGGTTCAAGATTGGGATAGGCGTACGGCAAGGCTGCATACTCTCACCCAACCTTTTTAACTTGTATGCAGAACACATCATGCGATGTGCGGGGCTTGATGAATGCAAAGCTGGGGTGAAAATTGCTGGAAGAAACATTAACAACCTCAGATATGCAGATGACACCACTCTGATGGCCGAAAACGAGGAGGAGCTGAGGAGCCTTCTAATCAAGGTGAAAGAAGAAAGCGCAAAAGCTGGGTTGCAGCTAAACATAAAAAACAAGATTATGGCAACAAGAATGATTGACAACTGGGAAATAGAGGGAGAAAATGTGGAGGCCGTGACAGACTTTGTATTTCTAGGTGCAAAGATTACTGCAGATGCAGACTGTGGCCAGGAAATCAGAAGACGCTTACTTCTTGGGAGGAGAGCAATGTCCAGTCTCAATAAAATAGTAAAGAGTAGAGACATCAGACTGGCAACAAAGATCCGCCTAGTCAAAGCCATGGTATTCCCCGTAGTAACCTACGGATGTGAGAGCTGGACCTTCGGGAAGGCTGAGCGAAGGAAGATCGATGCTTTTGAGCTGTGGTGTTGGAGGAAAGTTCTGAGAGTGCCTTGGACTGCGAGAAGATCCAACCAGTCCATCCTCCAGGAAATAAAGCCCGACTGCTCATTAGAGGGAAGGACAGTAGAGGCAAAGATGAAGTACTTTGGCCACATCACGAGGAGACAGCAAAGCCTAGAGAAGACAATTATGCTGGGGAAAGTGGAAGGCAAAAGGAAGAGGGGCCGACCAAGGGCAAGATGGATGGATGGCATCCTTGAAGTGACTGGACTGACCTTGAAGGAGCTGGGGGTGGTGACGGCCGACAAGGAGCTCTGGCGTGGGCTGGTCCATGAGGTCACAAAGAGTCGGAGACCACTGAACGAATGAACAACAACATATGGCAGTGTGGACTCAGATCTGAGTTCAAAGCAGATATTGTGGGATTTTCTGCCTTGGTATTCTGGGATATAGGGCTGTGTGGAAGGGCTGCCGGATTACCCAGTTCAAAGCAGATATTGTGGGATTTTCTGCCTTGGTATTCTGGGATATAGGGCTGTGTGGAAGGGCTGCCGGATTACCCAGTTCAAAGCAGATATTGTGGGATTTTCTGCCTTGGTATTCTGGGATATAGGGCTGTGTGGAAGGGCTGCCGGATTACCCAGTTCAAAGCAGATATTGTGGGATTTTCTGCCTTGATATTCTGGGATATAGGGCTGTGTGGAAAGGCTGCCAGATTACCCAGTTCAAAGCAGATATTGTGGGATTTTCTGCCTTGATATTCTGGGATATAGGGCTGTGTGGAAGGGCTGCCGGATAACCCAGTTCAAAGCAGATATTGTGGGATTTTCTGCCTTGATATTCTGGGATATAGGTCTGTGTGGAAGGGCTGCTGGATAACCCAGTTCAAAGCAGATATTGTGGGATTTTCTGCCTTGATATTCTGGGATATAGGGCTGTGTGAAAGGGCTGGTGGAAAACCCAGTTCAAACAGATATTGTGGGGTTTTCTGTCTTGATCTTCTGGGATATAGGGCTGTGTGGAAGGGCTGCCGGATAACCCAGTTCAAACAGATATTGTGGGATTTTCTACCCTAATATTCTGGGATATAGGGCTGTGTGGAAGGGCTGCTGGATAACCCAGTTCAAACAGATATTGTGGGATTTTCTGCCTTGGTATTCTGTGTGGAAGGGCCCTTAGGTTGGATTCTGGGCCCCTCCACACAGCCCTATATCCTGGGATATCAAATCAGATGATCCTACCATATGTGCTGTGTGGAAGGGCCCAGAGAGACACAGGTGGAAAGGGGGGGGGGTGTCTGAGCAGAGCCAGACCTCTAAAGGTGACCAGAAAGGGAAGGAGACAGAAGTGGCCAAGGGTGGCTGGCTGGGATCTGGCCGTGATTGCCATATATTCTAACGCCAAGCCGGTGGTGGGGAGGGAGGGAGGGGGTGGGCATGATCCCCTCCCTCTCTGAAGTCATCCATATTTATCAAGCGCGGTGTACCCCTCCCCTCTCCCTCTCTCCCTCCCTCCTCCCCTTCTGCCTCTGGCGAGCAAAGCAAAGCCAGACCAGACGGCAAGACGCGGGCGCATTGCTCGGCAGCAGGGACAGCTCCCCATTCCCTTTCGGGGAGGGGGATCCACGTTGACCCCCACCCCCAAAGCAAGGGGAGGCATTCACCCGCCTGCCTGCTCTGCCATGCCCCCCGGGGGTTGAATGGGGGGCGGGCCAGGCCTGGCAACTCCCGCCTCGCTGCCCGGGGCGATGCCAGGGAGGGGGAGCCATTGGGCCCCCCCACCTGCCTGCCGGACCCCCATGAGCTGAGCCTGCTTCTCCCCGTGGGTCCCGCCGCCCCCTCCCCCGGTCGGCCGCCATGGGATGTAACATGTGTGTGGTGGAGAAACCCGAAGAACAATATCGGGTCATGCTGCAGGTAAGGAAGGGGGCAAAAAAAGGGGGGGCAGGTGGAGGGGACAGAAAGGGAGAACGCCCCCCTTCCACCCAATGGGCAGAGAAAGAGGGAAATGGGGCCAAGGAAGCAAGCAGGATGGGTTTGAATGGAAGGGGGAGAGGCTAGAGGTGGTTCATAGGGATGGGGCTGAAATCGAGGTGGGGGGCAGGTGGGGTTCCGAAATGGGGGTGAGCTGCCATGGGGTCGCTTGGGGACAAGGAAGACGTAACTGGGAGTTAGCAGGAATGAAGTGGGTCTCTGGAAAAGGATATTTGGGGGCGCCACAAAGAAGAAAAGGGGATAACGGGGGGGGGGGGTTGAAAAAAAAGAGGGTGCAATGGGGAATTATTAGAGGGGGCACTTTATAACTGGGGAAAACACTGCTTGCTTTTTGTTTTCCTAGAGAGGAGGGGGTGTGAGATGTGGGGAGGGGGTGTGAGATGTGGGGAGGGGGTGGGGTGGCCCTTGGGGGGGGGTCGATGCTGCGATGGGGGTTGAGTGAGTGAGGAGAGGTTGCTTAGCAACTTGGTTTTTGTGCTTTTGGGTGTTTGGTGTTTGTTGGTTGTTGTTGGGGTGTTTTGTTGGGGTGTGTGTTTTTGGTGTGTTGTTTTTTTGTTGGGGTTGGTGTGGTTGTTTGTTTATGCTTTTGTGGTGTTTGTGTTTTGTTTGTCTGTTGGTCGGAGGGGGTGTGAGATGTGGGGAGGGGGTGTGAGATGTGGGGAGGGGGTGGGGTGGCCCTTGGGGGGGGGTCGATGCTGCGATGGGGGTTGAGTGAGTGAGGAGAGGTTGCTTAGCAACTGGTCTCTCCCCCCCCCCCCCCCAATTCAATATAGTGCTCATAGGGGTGTAGTTTGGGGCTGAGCAACTCCAATGGGGGCAAAAGAGTCTGGCACATTAGACATGTCTTCTTCCCTTTCCACTCATCCATTCAACCTCAGTCCCCTTCTCCATTCATCTCCTCACTCCTCCTGTGCTCTTTTTCCACCCTCCTCATTCATTGCTTCCTTTCCTTCCTATTCAGGTGCCTATCTCTTTAACACAGCTCCCTCCCACCCAAATCTTTTTGTCTCCATCTCCCACCAGTCTATTATTCAGCCATTCTCTCTTTCTCCTCCAGTTCTGTTTCCCACCCCATTCTGAGGTCTTTCCACCCCTATTTTCCCATCTCACATTACAGGTACAAAGGCACCTTCCCCCCAAATAGAGATACCCACCAGGCAAAAGCTGACAGTGACAAAAACAAATGTTAAAAGAGCCAAAGGGTTTGCGATATACAATGATGGGCAGAGGAAAGGTTACTGTCAGCAGGTACAACAATTGTCTTTGAATGCTGTATAGTAGTGTTTGGAATATTCTCTCACAGATGCGTGTGTGGCCAGCTGTGCAATATTACCCTATTTCGCCAATTCTCTCTAAATAATGGGATGCATCTTCAAATCACATGTGTTTTTCTTACATCAAAAATAAATGCCTGTTTTCTGTTGGTGGTGCTAAAATTAGCATGCGCCTTACAATCAATGGCATCTTAGAATCGAAGAAATACGGTATATATTTCTGCGAGCCATCCAAGCCTGCACGACTGTATATATGCAGAAGCATTGGGAGTATTTGTCCAAATATACTGGGTTGTAGTAGGTTTTTTCGGGCTATATGGCCATGTTCTACAGGCATTCTCTCCTGACATTTCGCCTGCATCTATGGCAAGCATCCTTGCCTCACTACCTCTGGCTATATGGGCTATATGGCCATGTTTCGGGCTATATGGCCATGTTCTAGAGACATTCTCTCCTGGCATTTCGCCTGCATCTATGGCAAGCATCCTTGCCTCACTACCTCTGGCTATATGGGCTATATGGCCATGTTTCGGGCTATATGGCCATGTTCTAGAGGCATTCTCTCCAGACGTTTCGCCTGCATCTATGGCAAGCATCCTTGCCTCACTACCTCTGGCTATATGGGCTATATGGCCATGTTTCGGGCTATATGGCCATGTTCTAGAGACATTCTCTCCTGGCATTTCGCCTGCATATATGGCAAGCATCCTTGCCTCACTACCTCTGGCTATATGGGCTATATGGCCATGTTTCGGGCTATATGGCCATGTTCTAGAGACATTCTCTCCTGGCATTTCGCCTGCATCTATGGCAAGCATCCTTGCCTCACTACCTCTGGCTATATGGGCTATATGGCCATGTTTCGGGCTATATGGCCATGTTCTAGAGACATTCTCTCCTGGCATTTCGCCTGCATATATGGCAAGCATCCTTGCCTCACTACCTCTGGCTATATGGGCTATATGGCCATGTTTCGGGCTATATGGCCATGTTCTAGAGACATTCTCTCCTGGCATTTCGCCTGCATCTATGGCAAGCATCCTTGCCTCACTACCTCTGGCTATATGGGCTATATGGCCATGTTTCGGGCTATATGGCCATGTTCTAGAGACATTCTCTCCTGGCATTTCGCCTGCATCTATGGCAAGCATCCTTGCCTCACTACCTCTGGCTATATGGGCTATATGGCCATGTTTCGGGCTATATGGCCATGTTCTAGAGGCATTCTCTCCAGACGTTTCGCCTGCATCTATGGCAAGCATCCTTGCTTCACTACCTCTGAGGATGCTTGCCATAGATACAGGCGAAACATCAGGAGAGAATGCCTCTAGAACATGGCCATATAGCCCGAAAAAATCTACTACAACCCAGTGATTCTGGCCATGAAAGCCTTCGACAGTACATTGTCCAAATATACATTGCACGGTTTGCTCAGATACATGTTTGTGTAGTCTTACATGATCTTGTGACTGCAATGAAGGGGGTGTCCCTTTTCTTTTGTTTTGCAGTATCCCCACAGCTCTAGTTCATATATAGATAGAGTATTTATTTATTTACTACATTTATATACCATCCCTCTCAACCCGCAGGCGACTCAGGTCGGTTTACAGTCGGTACAAGGACCATAAAAATACAATTACAATACAATTAAAAACATCAAGATAATATGTGCTATGTTAATCTATATAAATAAAAATGTAATGTTCGTTTGTGGGATTAACACTGGACAAATTGACACCAAATTTGGACACAAGACACCTAACAACCCAAATGTGTGTCCTTCATTAAAAAGTACATTGATTTTGTCATTTGGGAGTTGTAGTTGCTGGGATTTATAGTTCACTTACAATCAAAGAGCATTCTGAACCCCACCAATGATGGAATTGAACCAAACTTGGCACACAGAACTCCCATGAACAACAGAAAATACTGGAAGGGTTTGGTGAGCAGTGTCCTTTGGTTTTGGAGTTGTAGTTCACCTACATCCAGAGATCACTCAAACAACGATGGATCTGGACCAGACTCTACACGAATACTCAATATGCCCAAATGTGAACACTGGGAGTTTGGGGAAAATAGAATCTTGACATTGGAGTTGTAGTTGCTGGGATTTGTAGTTCACCTACAATCACAGAGCATTCTGAACCCCACCAATGATAGAATTGGGCCAAACCTCTCACACAGAACCCCCATGTGGGCCACAGCAACGCGTGGCAGGGGACGGCTAGTCTATATAAATAAAAATGTAATGTTCGTTTGTGGGATTAACATAACTCAACAACCACTGGATGAATTGATGCCAAATTTGGACACAATACACCTATCAGGCCAACGAGTGACCATCACTCATAAAAACACTAAAACACAGCAGAAGAGACTTAAAAAACAAAAAAATACATTACAACGCATGCGCAAAACCATATATATATACACAAACAAACATATATACACAAATATATACACACACATATACACAAACTGGGCCACAGCAACGCGTGGCAGGGGACGGCTAGTGTAATATAATGGCATTCCATGCAGTCATGCCGGCCACATGACCTTGGAGGTGTCTACGGACAACGCTGGCTCTTCGGCTTAGAAATGGAGATGAGCACCAACCCCCAGAGTCGGACACAACTGGACTTAATGTCAGGGGAAAACCTTTACCTAATGTAATATATTGTATATACATATAATATTTATAATATTATAATGTAATGCAATATAATACTACTACTAATAATAATATATTATAATTATATATTTATATTACATGTAATATTACTAATAATATTACAATATAATGGTATAATACAATATAGTAATAAAACTGATATTGTACTATGCTAATAATATAATATATTGTATGTATATATTGTAAGCCGCACTGAGTCTCCTTCGGGGTGAGAAGGGTGACATATAAATGTTGTAAATAGATAAATAAACAATAAGCTCTTCGGCTTAAAATGGAGATGAGCACCAACCCCCAGAGTCGGGCACGACTGGACTTAATGTCAGGGGAAAACTTTTACCTTTACCTAATGTAATATACTGTATATACATATAATATTTATAATATTATAATGTGATGCAATATAATACTACTACTAATAATATGATATTATAATTAAATATTTATATTACATGTAATATTACTAATAATATTACAATATAATGGTATAATACAATATAGTAATAATTAATACTGATATTGTACTATACTAATAATATAATATATTGTATGTATATATTGTAAGCCGCTCTGAGTCCCCTTCGAGGTGAGAAGGGCGGCATATAAATGTCGTAAATAAATACATAATCAATAAATAAAACCATAGCAGATGGGAAATAAGCCCACCATATAAAATGAGCATTTCTGGGGACATCCCTCTATCCATATGTTCAAGAGATGCTCATAAAATCTCTGCACATCATTGTACCCTTCCTCGCTAAGCCCTAAATTCATATTTGCAGACCAAGATCATATACACCTCCTTTGCTTGAACTCTGTGACCTGGGGTTTTGTTGCACTGGCCATGAATTTGGAAGTGGCCTCTCTTGGTTGGCCTTCCAAGTTTCTCCTCCTTTTGTGTCAAAGCACTGCCTCCTTCCTCCTCTGTCAATCTTTTGTATTTCGCCTGGGTATTTACA